CTCTGGGTTTTTGGTCAGAAGGGAGGATACAATGCTAACAGTTTGCATTGCTTCAGGGGATCTTTGCATTAGGACGATTAGGAGCACCCTTTCATTCTGAAAAGCTCACTCAGAAACAAAACCTTTGATGCCTGAGCAATTGTTAAAGCTTGAAAGAACTTAGAGAGGTTTTTCTGCCTTCAGTTTGTTGTTTTCCCTTAGAGCTAATCACAGGTGGTCCCCATACTAATATATTCAGGTGATTCTAATTTTTGTCCTTCTGAGAGAGAAAGAGGCTTTGGTTTTTAAGTTTTTTAAGAGAGCTTTTGAGAAAGATTAAAGCTTTTTAGAGAGATTTTTTCCCCAAAAAATTTTCCAAGAAAAGCTTTAGAGCTTGAGAAAGATTCCCCCACCAACTTTTCCCAAAACTTCCCAACTTTATAAACTTTGACTCCTTACACCCCCATTTTTGCCTCAGGGAGAAATTACTTTCTCCTGCCTCTTGAATTTAGTATTTCAGCTGTCCCCAGGTCAAAAGCTTCCATAGGAAACTTTTTCTTCAGCTCCTCAAAGAGGAGCTTTTTTTTACTACCTGTAAAGCCCAAAGATAGATTTTTCCCCCAGTTTGTGTTCATAGCCCCCAAAGTTAGAAAATTGAAGAGTTTTTGTCTAGTTGCCTTACTTATTTTGTCCTACATGATCTTACACTTATAAGTTTTTCCTACACTATATTACTACCCTATACCTTATACTTATCACAGATAGAAATTGAGAAAGGGATAGAAGATAGAAAATTTTGACAGAAGAGAATTTCGCTGCAGCATCGGACATCCTTCCAGTCCGCTTTCCTTTTCTCTCGAGGATAAAACCCCTGCCTCACCAAAAAATATATATATAAATATATATATATTCCATAACACCGGCATGCTTTTCCACTGGCAGGGCTGACTCAGCACTTTCGCCAAAAACTCTGTAATAAAACTATTATTTTCCTTTATCATTAGTCCCTATTACTTTGTCTTTAGTCCCTGTTCATTTGTCTTTAGTCCCTTTTTTTTAGTCCCCCCCTTTGTTTTCTTTAGTCCCTTTTTTTTCTTTTTTCTTTAGTCCCTGTTCATGGTGCCATTCTGTGGGGCGTTTACCCACCAACCCCACAGCTCCCCAGAGTTTTCTTGAGTGTGAGCAGTAGGAAATATTAGATAGAAGGATTTATTGCAGAGAATCTTGAGGAGATAGATAGAAAATAATGGATAGCCTCAAGAGGGCCTGGAACCTTTTCCAATGGGCCCTGACCGACTCTGCCCCTGGGTTTTTATAGAGATGCCAAGGGGTAGAGCAAAAGACCTCCTATCCTAGCACAGCCAAGCCAAGTGAAGACCATCTCAGACACCTGCACTCAAGCCCGTGGTCCTAATCATCCTCTATGTGGACCTGCTGGGTAAAGCCACGAGGAACCTGAGAATGGGCTCCCATAGAACGGGGAGGAAAGATAATTTTAAGACAGGATTGGAATGGTATTGACATTGGGTGCATTTTATGAATATTGGAAAACTTTCCTATTTTAAGTTTTCTAAGAATTTTAAAAGTATATCTCCATATAATCATGCCAACACTGGTATAATAATATGAATAAAAATGAAATAATTTCATTTTCATGAGAAAAGAGCTCTTGCCTAGGCCAACTTTTAGCTTGAATACAATTGCCCACAGAAATCAAAATGGAAGAAATAAAAAAGCTATAATGTTTCTTCACTGGCAATATCAAGTAATCACATAATTTTTCAAGGTTGCTAATCAATTGTCTGACCTGCAATACTAATTTGATATTAAAAATTATTTGAAGCTTTATCTAACAAAGCTCTGCATATATGAAGATTTGAAAATACATGCTTTTATACAAGGCATGACTAAGATTATATCTTTATATAAAAGCTTTTCATAATGAGCACTGTCTTTAACTAACAGCCTACTCATCTTGCATGACTTTGCTTATCCTGACACTATTCAATTAACCTGTCATCTGATGCTGCAACAAAAGACAGAGCAATTCACATCATAAATGGCTTCTGAGCTCACTGGGTTATAGTAAGCACATTACTTGGATCTCCTACACTCATCTACACACAGGTGCTACCGTTTGTGTTTGGTTAAATTCCTCTCAATAATCCTACTTACCATGTTTCATCTACTCCCAATAAGCACTCTTAGTCAAAACCACTGGCCACATCCAAATAATATAAGAGCCTGTGCCATTATATTCCAGTAACATTTTTCTCTTATTACATGTAAACCTCCAAAAGCTTAATAAGATATCCTGAATATTTATGCATTTGTCTTTGGAATACTTGGTCTCAATCCATTTCCCCATGATGGGTCTTACATAGATCAATCAATGTATAAATCAGGTACTGTTGTTCTCTTGGTTAATATGTTTAATTAAGTCAGTTCGTACTCAAATGCTATGGTCAGCATTCAGTTTCATTTTAAGATATCTCTCTGACCTCTCCTTGACAAAGTCTCTCAAGTTAGGTGGGATAATGAAATGTTCTCTTTAAATCCCATGACTTGCTGACTGGGGATCACTCAAGATCATTCTTACTGGGAAATATTTTTGGGGTGTCTTTTTGTTGTTGCTTGAAGAGCTAATTTCTGCTTCATTGCTTGCTTATGTAAACATAATCAATTGATTAATGTTAGCCAAAAAGTAATGATACTGATATTAAGTGATTTTTTTACATAGAATTTAACAGATCTTTTTTTATATAATTTTGCAATTAAGGGATGATTTACTGTTAATCATAGAGCATCTGTGTGAAATTTACTGTCTTTCAATCTGATAAATGAGGTGCTACATTTTGTGTAAGGAGGAAACAGCCCAACCTTCTCTAGATAGAAGTTTTGGAATGTGACCAATCTGGAATTTAAATCATGGGTAAACATTTTATTGCATAAAAATCTCTCCCTAAATAAAACATTGCCTCCTCGAGGAAGTAGATGGGTTCCCAAACTAAAGAAACTAAACCACCTTCCAAATCCAGAAGACAGGGAAAAATTCACAAAGCCCCTCTCAATGCTGTATAGGCAGTAAATATGTTGTTTCTATAATAGAAAAATGTATCCTTGTACAGGTATGTGTACTATATATGTGTATATTGCATATCACATTTACATTAATGCATAGCTAAGTTTTTGAGGCACAAATTATACCGAAAGAGGAAACCACAAAGTTGGATGTTTAACAAAGAGTTACCTAGACATCTTCCTTCTTCAATATTTTTAAGCATAATTTAATTTTCAATTTTATGAACAGAAAATATTGTATTTATCACATATTATAAACACACAGTTATAATCTGTGTAAACATATGTATGAATAACACTTATGTACTTATAAATCTCAGTGAGTCTAGTGCATTTTGTTTGTATCAACTGTTTTTTTTTCCTGTAAATTATCTTAAAAATTTCTTCCCATATGTGACAGTTTAAAATGGTAGAAGTCAAAACCAAATATATAAAAGTAATTGTATGATTTCTTTCCCCCTTTTAAAGTTTTGGCTATTGCATGTCCATGTTTCATGGTGAAATAGTCACATTCATTTAATTTAGTACTAGATACTTTCCTGTAGCTAAAGTTAAATGCTTAATAAGGTCCTCTTTAATCTCTCTAATGCTAATTTAGCTTTTAAAATGTAACCTATCTGACAACTTTTATCTCTAAATTTAATGCACTGGCAGTCTGCTAGACATCTCTGACTTTTTTTCGGCCATTCCCAGCCTTATCACCTGTGAGCATCTTTCTGTCTCTGCCTTATCATGCAATTACACAGTCGTTAGTGGTTTCATTTCTCTCTCTTCACAGCACAGCCCTGATGTGGGCACATCAGTGTGAGAAGCAGCACATCTCTAAGAGGAACAGGCTCTTCCATGAGTCTGAGCCTGACCATTAGCATCAGAGAAGTATCTCATTTCAGATTGAGTTAAGATAATGCTTCCTAAACTCTGGCATTTATTCCAACTACATAAATCTTCCAAACACATATAATCATAGAATGCATAATTATGAAACAGAACAACAGAAAAACAATAATTTGGATTCTATTGAAAAAAAAATGGAAGCTTAAGATTTGTGAATCTCTTTTTTTCCTCCTCTCTCTGGGAATAAGCGAGCCTGATACAGCTTCATGAATAATTCATAAAAGAAGAATAAAAGATTTATCAATAAAAACAGGGTCAAGATCTCCTGGGGAGCCTTAGAATATAAGTATGTGTGAGAACAGCATCAGAGGAGAGCTGTGTATTTGAATGCCCAACCTAAATTTTCATCCTGTTCAGATCTTTGTTAATAACTTAGTAGAATAAATTTCAAGCTCAGCACAATGGCTGTGATATTTCAGAATTGATAGGTTTTATTTTTATTTTTTGGATTTTTGGTTTTTAAGAACCACTAAAATTACCATAATAAAAAAAGAATTGTTTATGTCTTTTTTTTTTTTTTTTTTTTGGTTTTTCGAGACAGGGCTTCTCTGTATTGAGACAAGGCTTCTCTGTGAATTGTTTATGTCAAAAGGTGCTGTAAGAAGCCATTTTAAACATTTCTTGTTAATTACCTATTGAATAGTAACTCCTTAGAAAAAGTACATTTGAGTTACATATGCTTATATTTGATGAATCTACATGTGAACACATTGTGTGATGAAATGCAAAACAAACACTTTATTGGAGCAAAGGAAGAATTGATAACCAATGCCAAATTCTTACTAAAAAGCTTTTATTTTAAAAGAAAAATGTGAATATCTTGTTACTTTAAAATTTCTTTTTTTTTTTTTTTTTTTTTTTTTTTGGTTTTTCAAGACAGGGTTTCTCTGTGTAGCTTTGCACCTTTCCTAGAATTCACTTGTTAGCCCAGGCTGGCCTCGAACTCACAGAGATCCGCCTGCCTCTGCCTCCCGAGTGCTGGGATTAAAGGTGTGTGCCACTACCGCCCGGCCTAAAATTTCTTTCTCCTTGTGAAATGATTAAACATCCTTTGGATGTGTGCCCAAGAGTGGTAAAGCTGTGTCTTGAGGTAGATTGATTCCCAATTTTCTGAGAAACTGCCATTTTGATTTCCAAAGTGGCTGCACATGTTTGCACTCACACATTCTCTTGCTCCACATCCTCTTCAACATAAGTTGTCATGTATAGTTTTTAATCTAAGTCATTCTGCTGACAGGTATAAGATGGAATCTCAGAATTATTTTGATTTCCAATTCTCTGATGGCTAAGGATGTTGAAAATTTTCTTAAGTGTTTCTCATCCATTTGAGATTCTTCTGTTGAAAATTCTGTTTAGCTATGTACCCTATTTTTAATTGGATTATTTGGTTTAATGGTATGTAATTTCTTGTGTTCTCTATATATTTTGGAAATATGCTCTCTGTCAGATGTGGGATGATGAAGTTCTTTTCCCATTCTGTAGGCTGCCATTTTTTCTATTGACAGTTTCCTGTCCCTTAGAGAAACTTTTCAGTTTCATGAGGTTCCATTAATTAATTGTCAGTCTTAGTGTCTGTGCTACACTTGCCAAACCAGGCAGCTTTATTTGTGATATCCAGAGCCTGGAAACCACCTAGATCTCCCTCTGAAGAATAGACAAAGAATGGATAACTGAAGAATGGATAAAGAAAATGTGGTACATTTACACAATGGAGTATTACTCAGCTATTAAAAACAATGACATCATGAAATTCGAAGGCAAATAGATGGAATTAGAAAAAAATCATCAGATAAAAATCATACTGAGTGAGGTAACCCAGACCCAGATAGACAAATATGGTATGTACTCATTTAAAATTAGATATCAGTTGGAAAGTAAAGGATAACCATGCTATAAACCACAGAACCAGAGAGGGTAGGTAACAAGGAGGACTAAAGGGGTACACTCTGATCTGTCTTGAAAGGGAAAATAGAAGAGATTTCCTGGGTAGATTGGGGCCAGATAGGGATGGGAACATGAGGAATCAGGTAGAGCTGAGGTGGTGGGGTGTGTACTGAGTCAAGTAGAAAGGGGGTCATTTCTGGGTCAGGTAGAAACCTGGTGTAAGGAAAACTCCCAGGAATCTACAAAGATGGCCCCAGCTAAGACTTCTAAAAAAGGAGCTACATATTCTGAACTGGCCCCCTCCTGTGACCAGGCAGGAATACCAGTTGAGGGATTGGGGCACCATCCTAGCCACATAAGTTTGACCTATAGCCTATCTAACCTAGAGGATGTGCTTTGGTAACGGTGATACAGAGATTGTGGCAGTGGCCAGCCAATGATTAGTCTAGTCTAAGACCCATGCCATGAAAGTGAGTCCACTCTTGACACTGCCTGGAACGCTAGGACCCAGATGCTGGATGTCCCAAAGAGCTAAACTAGAACCAGGCCTGACTGGAGAAAAAAATTGTCAATATAATGATGCCTAATGGTATTCTGCTATACTCACAGATTGTTGTCTAGCCCAATAGTTATCAGAAAGACTTCTACCAGCAACTGGTAGAAATAGATGCAGAGACCCACAGTCAAACATTAGGCTAAGCTCAGAGAGTCTTGCTGAAGAGAGGGAGGAAGGATTGTAGGAGAGAGAGGGGTCAAGGACATCACAAGAAAACCAACAGAATCAGCAAATCTGGGCTTTTAGGGACTCACAGAGCCTGAACAGACAAATATAGCCTACATGGGACTGACCTATGTCCTCTGCATATATGGGACAGTTGTGTAGCTTGGTCTATTTGTGGGACTCCTTAGTAGTGGGAGCAGGGCCTGACTCTGACTCTTTTCTTGGCTTTTAGGACCTTCTTTCTCATACTGAGTGCTTTGCCCAGCCTTAATCAAGGTGACATGCTTATTCTTACTACAATTTGATATGCCATGTTTTGCCTCTTTCTGAATAGAAACAGGGAAGGAGTAGATGGGGAGAGGAAGAGGGGAGGTAGGGTGTGGTACTGGGAGGAGAAGATGGAGAGGGAACTGCATTCAGGATGTAAAATGAAGAAATAAATTTTAAATAAATAAATGAAAAAAAGTTGGGTTATTCTCATATACCATGCCACGATTAAACCACCGGGCATATCTTGCCAAATTTGTCATTATTGTCACTCAAAGGATTTTCAACGGGGTAAGATTGTTGTCTACTTTTATCCTCTAGTAATGTACATGTCCCTTTGAGCATGGTGAAAACAAGCTGCTGGGGATAAAGCTTTCAACTCAGTGTCAATGTGATTTTTCCTTACTTCAATTAAGGATGTCTTAATCAATGGGGTCTTGCATCAAATGGATAAGTTTGATTGAGTTTGTACTAGTTTGAATGAGACGATCCACATAGGCTCGTATTCTTGAATGCTTTGTCATCTGGCACTCTTTGGAAAAGATTAGGAGGTGTGGCTTTGTTGGAGTGGAGGTGGCCTTGTTGGGAGGGTGTCTCAATGGGAGTGGGTTTTGAAGTTAAAAAACCCATGCCTGAGCTGGACTCTACCTCTCCCTGCTGCCTGTGGATCAGGATATAAAGCTCATCAATTGCTTCTCTTGCACCATGCCTGTCTTCTTCCTATCATAATAATCACGGATTTATCCTCTAAAATGTAAGCACATCCCCAACTAAATGATTTCTTTTATAATAGTTGCCTTGATCATGGTGTCTCTTCACAGCAGTAGAATAGTACCTAAGACAGTAACCAAGATAACTATGACATATAATGACTATGGGATCTTTGGAATCAATTAACCACTTCAAAAATGATAACCCATTTCTGGCACTGAACTTCTTATATCTTACTTATGGTATCTAGTTGTATCTTTATTGTCTCCATATAGGATAACTCAAATTAAACATTTTATAGATGTATATGTATATAGTTTTAGACATTTCTACAGTAGTAGGTTTCTGTATAACTGGAGCAGTTATATATGTTGGGAGCTGTAGTCTCTGTAATATACTCTGTTTCAGATATACTGTTAGCAATGCAAGAATAAGAGGTTTTTTTTGTATCATGTTCAACTTCTATTCAGAAGTGATGTTTTGATTTAATAGGACCTAATAGCAGCTATAAAATCATATATATTAGATGAGGAATGAATGTTTTCAATATATCCAAGTGTATATAACATTACTGCATCAAGGTAAGCCATTATACAAACATACATAAATTATGGTGGCATTGCTCTCCATTTTCTTTGAATAGCATCTATAATAATAGTTGATATTGAAATTTCACAAATTTTATGAGCTTAGGACTCTGTAAATTCCTTTTGTATATAAACATTTCTTTGTTTACAATAATGTTCTCATACCATAGAGACACTCCCTTATTGATTTGGAGAGGTTACATGTTGCTCAAAACAACAGATAAGTAGTGGTTGAGCTAGAATGTGAACTCAGAGTGCAATAATTATCCTTTGAAAACATAGCCATGATCATAAGCATAACAGCAAGTATTAGAATAGATTAAGGCTTATATGATGATACAGCCAATGTACCATTAATTCTCAACTGTAATCAAGTACAAAGATAGAGTAGTTGGATGATGAAAGCTTGGATTCACAGATGGTTTGTGGTGAAAACAGTCTATTTTAAATATATCAGTGATTGACCTAAGGGCTTCTTTATAATTAAACACCTGCTCACCTTACTATTACATACATGAGCCCTTGAGGATGAAAGAAATAGCAATTTTAGACTTGTTTGAAGTATTTTTTCTTTAAAAATTAGATTCTTAAAAAGTTTTAAGTAAACAAAATGTGTTAAGGGGCTAATTTAATCAAACAGAAATATATTTGTTATTTTTATTGCATGAAGCATATCACCCTTATAGAAACAAACTTACAAATAAATAATGTTTTTCATCACATATCACTCAATTTACAGAGAAAGAGAAATAAACAACTTAAAGTCACTTTATTTATGTTAGCATAAAGGTAAAGCCACACACTCTTGAAGTAGGAAATGCAACCCAAATCTGCATCTGTCTTAGTAGTCTGAACATCAAGACATGGTGACTAGGAGGGAAGAAAAAGTCACATCAGTACACTGAAATACTGATGGACATGGAAGTGAGTAGCATGGAGGAATCTGTATGTGGAGTATTCAGCTAGTTCTTTCCACGACAGGTAGAGATACAAGTATCCCAGCACTTCGAAGCCCTCAACCAACACTGATAATGCTTGGTATCTACTTGACCAAGTAGTCAACAAGTCAGAAAAACAAGACATGGATGACAAAAACATTCTACCTGCCCGCCATAGACCAAAACATTGAGCTAGTATCACAGAGACCAGAGGTCTGTCGTCTGTGTGATAATGGATACTCACTTTTTCATGATTTTTTTGCCCCACATATAAATGTATATTTGTAACACACACAACACACACATACACATGCACACACATACAAATACACAACTACACATAAGCCTATTTAAACTCATAGATATAGAGTAATTTTTCTTTTTTAAATTTTTCTTTCGTTTTTCATTTTTACTAGTTATTTGATAAATCTGTACAACATATTTTCATTATACACACCTCTCTATCAGACCCTTCCATATCTACACATATCTATATATCCACTACTCACCCAACTTCGTGTCCATTTTCTCTTTTTAAAACAGATCTATTCTAATCTATGTGACCTAAAAATCATTGGATGTATAGCCTCTAAATGGAGCATTTTTAACAAAACAGGGGATATCCCTTCAAAGAAAACTGACTCATCTTCTACCAGCTCTCAGTTTCATTAAAGATGCAGATATTTACAATAGATGATGATAAGTATGGAAAGACACAAATTATAAGTGTGAGGAAAATTAAAATAGTACAGTGGTCTCAGTCCTAAATGGGACCTCTGTATTGCATTCCCAAATCCAAAGTCTCAGGAATCTTTACCAAAGGTAGAAATATTATGAAAGCCAGACTATTAAATGTCTACAAGGAACAGTGTTGTCTGGACACAACAGGAAATTCTAGACACATACAGCAGCTGTAACAGCATGCACAAGACCAGTGCAAATGCAAACC